CATCGTCAAACAGATGAAGTAAGTGTCTCTTTTCTGTCTCGTTTTAACCCTCCGCGGCACAGCCAGAGCAAAAGGCCCGAGATTGCGCCTCCCCTATCTGTGCTAAGGCAGGTTGAGCCGCCATGTTTCGAGAGGCCGTAGCCCCGGAGGAGTGCCGGTGACTCGAGCACCTCCTGCAGACCGACAGTGAGGCTGCCGAGGCCGCACCGGTGCGTCCCAGGGTGCTGTTCACTGCCCGGGTGCTGAAATGTAGTTAACGAGGGTTGTACTTGACTACAGGGAGTGTGCGACTGGGGATATGTGGGTGTTGTTCTCTGTGCGTGTGCGCGTGCGTGTTTGTGTGCGCGCTCGTGTTTGTGTGTGTGTGTGTGAATTACATTGAGGTCACTACAGCTCCATTAGTGAATACCTCTGCTTTTAATCTTAATGGCTTTAAGTGCCCGATATCGCCGGGAGTACTTTGCCTATAAAGCGGATTTACGCAGAAATATGGCTTCTAAAACCGCATCTAAACCGTCCCCTGTCTAAGCTAAATCACTCTTTGATGTTTTAAATCACTGTTGTTGTTTTCTCTAAACCTCTTAGTTAAGTTTTTAGATGTTTCAGTCCGGAAAAAGGCACAGTCCATTGTATATTTTGTCTTGTGAAAACATCTCTACCAGTTTTTGTTGGGTAGCCCTGTATCTCTCTTTCTCTCTCTCTCTCTCTCTCTCTCTCTCTCTGCCTCCGTCCTGCTCAGCGCATCCCGGCCTGCAATGCACTGACTGCACCCTCCCTCCCTTCCTTCCCTCTCTCTCCCTCCCTGCCCTGCTTCCTCTTCTTCCCTTCACCTCATTACCCTCCCTGTGGTTTTCTGCCAGTCCACAACTCGCTGCTCTGCCCTGAACACAAGACACTGGGGCCAAATAGTGTTTACAAACACTTTTCAGGGTTTGTTTTAGCCGGGGCAGGCAGGCAGCAGCCGGATGGGTTTTACTACACACACTGTGGGTCATAAAGGTTAGGTATCGGAGGGTACATTTAGCTCGCACTGCTGTGATTTAGTCCAACATCATCACATGCTGTGCAGGTTAGTAAAATGATTTGAGAGTGTCTTTTATATTGTGTGATCCAGGGCCTGTCTGTGGTAGTTTCATGTCTGCAATGAGAATCAAACTACAGCTGGAGTTTCAAGTGTGTGTGTGTGTGTGTGTGTGAGAGAGAAATGTTGACCCAAAACCTTTAAAAGGTCAGAAAATGTAACCTATAATAAGTCCTATAAATAAGAAGATGCACACAATGAAGTAGATTTGGATTATATGAATGAAACCTCATTGATCTGTGACACTAACTAAGATGTTTTCGGACTCTGTGATTGGTCAGTTAAGTTCTCATCAATCACACACTGTATATGGAGCTCGAACAATTAGTGCATTCAATTAAAAAATCTATCTGCAGCTATTTTTAAAGCAAACGTGTCCAAAATGTATTAGTTCAGACTTAATGAAATGTGAATATTTACTGATGTTCTTTGTTCTCTGTGATATTATCTGCATATTATCAATAATGAATGTAACTGTTATTTGCAGCCTAACCTGTATATTAATTTAACCCTCTGTCTTTGGATTGTGAGGCCACTTATCGGCCTTAATTGCATCAATTTTGAAAACGCTGAAGGCACAGAATATAGACTGAAAACACCTCCCCGAGAAAATGCTTATCAGAGGTGGTAAAACACCAACATCCTGACACATCTCACACCCGAACAGTAGTCTCAGTTATTTTAGAGGTAAAAGGATTCATTCATCCAGTAGTTTATTGTGAATTGATCAGCAACCGACGATTGAATAATCACTTTAGTCATTTTTATTAGCAAAAAAATCAAACATTTGCTTCTTTAATGTGAGGATTGTGTGTGTTTCTTTGTCTTATATGTGATGATAGTACATTTAATATCTGTTGGACCATCGACATATATAAATGTTTTATATGTTGGTCAAACAAAACAAGACATAGGAGGACATCACATTGTGCTATGGAGATTATTTGTAGATGAATGTAAATTCAACAATAATAAGAGAAATGATGTTAGTTGCACCTATAAATTATTCACTGGCCTTTGCTACGTGAAACTGCCCCTCTGTTCTTTCCCCCTAAAGGTTAATATTTTATTTCATAAAACTGTTTCTTTGGAGGTGGTCGCTCCGTTATATAAAACATCTTTTCACAATGTGCACTGATGAGCTGAATGTAGGTTAAAAACCATCATCCCTTATTAATTCTCCTCATACACATCAATCATTGATCACAAAGGAGGCGAAGAAGCGGCTGAAGTTTAAATGTGGACCGCAGGTCAGATTCAGGAAGTTGTGAGTGGTATTTTATAGGTGTATGTGAGGTCAGGGCAGATAATTTAATGTTGACCAGATTATGAGGAGTTTAACAGTGTCGTACTAAATGTAACAGTAGAGTCCTGTGTAGTGTGATTGATTAGTGCTCTGATTCCACTCCATTGCTCATCATAAATTATGAATGGCTTAGATATCACATTACTGACCAATTACAGATCACAGACTGAGAATGTGATCAATGCCCATCCCCATTATACACCCACACACTTAAAGACGCATTGTAGGCAGAGATGGTAGGAAGGAGGTAGAGAGGAATATAAGAATATAAGCCACACATACACAGTAGACCT